GGGAGTGGTCTGTGAGGCTAGGAGGGGCCAGTAACACTGGGAGTGGTCTGTGAGGCTTGGAGGGAACAGTAACACTGGGAGTGGTCTGTGAGGCTAGGAGGAACAGTAACACTGGAGTGGTCTGTCAGGCTTGAAGGGGACAGTAACACTGGGAGTGGTCTGTCAGGCTTGGAGGGAACAGTAACACTGGGAGTGGTCTGTGAGGCTAGGAAGGGCCAGTAACACTGGGAGTGGTCTGTCAGGCTTGGAGGGAACAGTAACACTGGGAGTGGTCTGTGAGGCTAGGAAGGGCCAGTAACACTGGGAGTGGTCTGTCAGGCTTGGAGGGAACAGTAACACTGGGAGTGGTCTGTCAGGCTAGGAGGGGCCAGTAACACTGAGAGAGGTCTGTTATGGTAGAAGGTTAACTCTGTGCTAGTTGCTCTGTAGGGAATGATGTGTATAGGAGCTGGTAAGGCTATGGGTATGATTGGTATGAATAGAACCTGGTTATAGTATTGGGTATGATGGGTATAGGAGCTTGTTAGGGTATGGGGTATGAGTGGTACAGCTTGTTAGGGTATGGGGTATGAGTGGTACAGAAACTGATTAGGGTATGGGGTATGAGTGGTACAGCATGTTAGGGTATGGGGTATGAGTGGTACAGCTGGTTAGGGTATGGGGTATGATTAGTACAGCTTGTTAGGGTATGGGGTATGAGTGGTACAGCTGGTTAGGGTATGGGGTATGATTAGTACAGCTGGTTAGGGTATGGGGTATGAGTGGTACAGCTGGTTAGGGTATGGGGTATGATTAGTACAGCTGGTTAGGGTATGGGGTATGAGTGGTACAGCTTGTTAGGGTATGGGGTATGAGTGGTACAGCTGGTTAGGGTATGGGGTATGATTAGTACAGCTGGTTAGGGTATGGGGTATGAGTGATACAGCTGGTTAGGGTATGGGGTATGAGTGGTACAGCTGGTTAGAGTATGGGGTATGATTAGTACAGCTGGTTAGGGTATGGGGTATGAGTGGTACAGAAACTGATTAGGGTATGGGGTATGAGTGGTACAGCTGGTTAGGGTATGGGGTATGAGTGGTACAGAAACTGATTAGGGTTTGGGGTATGAGTGGTACAGCTGGTTAGGGTATGGGGTATGATTAGTACAGCTGGTTAGGGTATGGGGTATGAGTGGTACAGCTTGTTAGGGTATGGGGTATGAGTGGTACAGCTGGTTAGGGTATGGGGTATGATTAGTACAGCTTGTTAGGGTATGGGGTATGAGTGGTACAGCTGGTTAGAGTATGGGGTATGATTAGTACAGCTGGTTAGGGTATGGGGTATGAGTGGTACAGAAACTGATTAGGGTATGGGGTATGAGTGGTACAGCTGGTTAGGGTATGGGGTATGATTAGTACAGCTTGTTAGGGTATGGGGTATGAGTGGTACAGCTGGTTAGGGTATGGGGTATGATTAGTACAGCTGGTTAGGGTATGGTGTATGATTAGTACAGCTGGTTAGGGTATGGTGTATGATTAGTACAGCTGGTTAGGGTATGGTTTATGATTAGTACAGCTGGTTAGGGTATGGGGTATGATTAGTACAGCTGGTTAGGGTATGGGGTATGAGTGGTACAGCTTGTTAGGGTATGGGGTATGAGTGGTACAGCTGGTTAGGGTATGGGGTATGATTAGTACAGCTTGTTAGGGTATGGGGTATGAGTGGTACAGCTGGTTAGAGTATGGGGTATGATTAGTACAGCTGGTTAGGGTATGGGGTATGAGTGGTACAGAAACTGATAAGGGTATGGGGTATGAGTGGTACAGCTGGTTAGGGTATGGGGTATGAGTGGTACAGAAACTGATTAGAGTATGGGGTATGAGTGGTACAGCTGGTTAGGGTATGAGTGGTACAGCTTGTTAGGGTATGGAGTATGATTAGTACAGCTTGTTAGGGTATGGGGTATGAGTGGTACAGCTGGTTAGGGTATGGGGTATGATTAGTACAGCTGGTTAGGGTATGGGGTATGAGTGGTACAGCTGGTTAGGGTATGGGGTATGAGTGGTACAGAAACTGATTAGGGTATGGGGTATGAGTGGTACAGCTGGTTAGGGTATGGGGTATGAGTGGTACAGAAACTGATTAGGGTTTGGGGTATGAGTGGTACAGCTGGTTAGGGTATGGGGTATGATTAGTACAGCTGGTTAGGGTATGGGGTATGAGTGGTACAGCTTGTTAGGGTATGGGATATGAGTGGTACAGCTGGTTAGGGTATGGGGTATGATTAGTACAGCTGGTTAGGGTATGGGGTATGAGTGGTACAGCGGGTTAGGGTATGGGGTATGAGTGGTACAGCTGGTTAGAGTATGGGGTATGATTAGTACAGCTGGTTAGGGTATGGGGTATGAGTGGTACAGAAACTGATAAGGGTATGGGGTATGAGTGGTACAGCTGGTTAGGGTATGGGGTATGAGTGGTACAGAAACTGATTAGGGTATGGGGGTATGAGTGGTACAGCTGGTTAGGGTATGGGGTATGAGTGGTACAGCTGGTTAGGGTATGGGGTATGATTTGTACAGCTTGTTAGGGTATGGGGTATGAGTGGTACAGCTGGTTAGGGTATGGGGTATGATTAGTACAGCTGGTTAGGGTATGGGGTATGAGTGGTACAGCTGGTTAGGGTATGGGGTATGATTAGTACAGCTGGTTAGGGTATGGGGTATGATTAGTACAGCTTGTTAGGGTATGGGGTATGAGTGGTACAGAAACTGATTAGGGTATGGGGTATGAGTGGTACAGCTTGTTAGGGTATGGGGTATGATTAGTACAGCTGGTTAGGGTATGGGGTATGAGTGGTACAGCTGGTTAGGGTATGGGGTATGAGTGGTACAGCTGGTTAGGGTATGGGGTATGAGTGGTACAGCTGGTTAGGGTATGGGGTATGATTAGTACAGCTTGTTAGGGTATGGGGTATGAGTGGTACAGAAACTGATTAGGGTATGGGGTATGATTAGTACAGCTGGTTAGGGTATGGGGTATGATTAGTACAGCTGGTTAGGGTATGGGGTATGAGTGGTACAGCTGGTTAGGGTATGGGGTATGAGTGGTACAGAAACTGATTAGAGTATGGGGTATGATTAGTACAGCTGGTTAGGGTATGGGGTATGATTAGTACAGCTGGTTAGGGTATGGGGTATGAGTGGTACAGCTGGTTAGGGTATGGGGTATGAGTGGTACAGCTGGTTAGGGTATGGGGTATGATTAGTACAGCTGGTTAGGGTATGGGGTATGATTAGTACAGCTGGTTAGGGTATGGGGTATGAGTGGTACAGAAACTGATTAGGGTATGGGGTATGATTAGTACAGCTGGTTAGGGTATGGGGTATGAGTGGTACAGAAACTGATTAGGGTATGGGGTATGATTAGTACAGCTGGTTAGGGTATGGGGTATGATTAGTACAGCTGGTTAGGGTATGGGATATGAGTGGTACAGCTTGTTAGGGTATGGGGTATGATTAGTACAGCTGGTTAGGGTATGGGGTATGAGTGGTACAGCTGGTTAGGGTATGGGGTATGAGTGGTACGGCTGGTTAGGGTATGGGGTATGAGTGGTACAGCTGGTTAGGGTATGGGGTATGAGTGGTACAGCTGGTTAGGGTATGGGGTATGAGTGGTACAGCTGGTTATGGTATAGGGTATGAGTGGTCAGCTGGTTAGGGTATGGGGTATGAGTGGTCAGCTGGTTAGGGTATGGGCTATGATTAGTACAGCTGGTTAGGCTGTAGAGTATAGGATCCATTAAGACTATGGGGATGGAGTGTATCAGATACAAAAGACTGATAAGTATACAGAAATAATGATTGTGAGATGTATATGATATAAGGTGATAGTAAAGGACTAGATGGATATGTTTACCATATTAGGGGTAGATGAAGATCCAGAGACAGGTCTATATAAAAGCATATCAAATTGCCAGGACAGAACTGTTGGCCTTGACACATGGTCTGATGGATGCCCACTAGGAGAGTCTGATGACTGTGCCCTGGCAGTCTGTAACTTTTAACACTGTCTACATTGTTATTGTTCTACTGGATTTTCTTTCAACTGATAAAAGAAAACAATGAAATATTAGAAAATAAAAAACAGAAGTTGAAAGAATGAACTGTTACCATGATGAACAGCTGTACACACAGAGAGTATAATATAATGGGTGTGGATGGCAACTTCAATTTTTATTTAACATCAATATATTTTATCAAAGATGGAACGGGAGCTTTATTTTACATATCCATATAGATCCTACATTATCATGCCTCTATCTTGACATTTTATAGCCAGTGTTTTCTTTTCAAAGACTTGATAAAAATGTTTCAGGTTGCCATGGAAACAGTTTGGTGGTAATGTGTGTGTCCAGTCTGACATTTACATGATAATGTTGGAACGAAGATGAAATTATTTCTCTGTCTTGATCAGTGTGCATGCAATCTCATTGAAGTTTTTCTAATTAAGTTGAGTTTATTGTTGGGACAGATTTGTGTGGGTGTTAACTTTTAGAGTGGAGTCTACTACAATTCTGTAGATGTAACATTGCATCCAATTTCTTTATGTCCTCCTGGTTTTTTACTCCTTCACCATGAATAGGGGGCGATTATGACTGACTTGGTGAGGAGGTCTTGGCTTTTTTGTTGACTTTCATATACTTTAATTTCACATGAACACTGGCTAATAAAATCTTTTAAACAATAACATTTTGGCATTGTTGTTATCTCCCTTTTCATCCTTCTCCTGTCAGACAGGGAAAGAACAAATGACTAAATTCAGTATTGGTTAAACATTTTTTCTTTCATATCTTGATGTCTATTTAAAGATCATTTTGAGGCAGTTATGAAGTATTGTATGAAAAAAAAGTTATAATGATGCTCGACCATTAAAATCATAATTGTATACTTAACTTTATTTTCTAATTATTTTCTAGGTATAACATTACTTGTATAACATGATCTAACCACAGGTCACCAAAGATGAGTGCAGCTAAAATGTTGGCGGACTCCACCCAGGGGGATCCCCTGACAGATACCGCCCCGGGGATGGGGGCCAAGAGGCGGAAATCACATGACAAAAGGAAAACAAAGAAACAGAAGAAAGAAACCAAGAAAAAGGTAGGGCAGATAACAACTATTTAAAAGTAGTTCAAATAAAAGTGAATTTTTGACATCAAGGATGTTAATTATCAGTCTAAATTTGATATTCCCTGTGTTAGGTATACAGAGAGCACCAATAGAAGCATTTCAAAACAAGTCAAACATCATGTACATGAAAGCAAACAGATCTGTAGCTAGATGACTGTTTGATGCCTAAATATAATTGTGTCAGAAAACAAATGAAATCACAATTGAGATATTACAATTTTCAGGGGAGATCACGCCAATTAGAAAATAAAACAGAGAGTTGGTTGGGGAGACTGCTGATAAAGACTTGTTAGTGTGTGATGTATAGGGTTTACATGGTAAATGTATGTACTATTGTATAAATGAACCCTAACACATGATTCAACCTCACTCAACCCTGCTACACACTAGTACTTATAGGAAAAAATATATTGTTAAATACACCAAAAACATCAGCAGGTTCTTTATCATCTCATTATGATCTTGAGGTTAGACTTTCAGTGAAAATATCAAATTCAACATCACTTGATGATGTAATAGTGAAATATTTCACTGAGATTTTACTTGATAAAAAGTGAGCCTAAACCACACCCCAACACCTGCATAAGAAATGTTAACACTTCCACTACAAAATTCTTCGTGTTGATCTCTTCAATATGATACATAAATATGACGGAAAGAAGTATATTATCGATTTTTTTACAATTTTTTTGAAAAGACAATCAGCATGACAACAAAGAAAACAGAACAACAAAATTGTTTCACCTAAGGAAACTGTCCACTTCACAGCTGCATGATTGTGTTAATATTGTAATGCATCAAAGCATCAAAACCAATCACAAATCTGCTTACTTAGAACAGGATTTATTGTAGCATAGGCTTTTGCCAAAAGTCTCATGTGTGTGAAATACAGAGAAAACATGTGCATTTCAACGCATATTTCTGTCTAGGAAAAAATTACTGCAAAGTGTGCTGGGGTATAGATCATATTTAGGTTTTTGTGATTGGGTCAACTTTTGTGAGAAAGATACTGTTACTTTGTTATTTGACCATAGTTTGGAAGATCACTAATATAATGAGCTGAAAGACTGTATTGTTAGAAATGTAGATATCAAATTAATGAAAATTATCTTGAATAACATGTACATCCAAGATTTTTTAGAAATTTGTCTTTGTCATCAATTTGCATCTCTTACATATTTTTTCTAAGGAGATTTATTTTTCAAATTTTGTTTTCTTTTGTAATGAAAAATAGTTTTTGGTCTAAGATTTGGCAGGATGAATTTGGCAAACCTGTAACTTTTGACATTGTTCCAATGTGTTATTGAGTGTTTGATGCTAGACATTTTTTCCTAAGTCAGACAAATGAAATTATACCAAGAAGCAGGGATTTCAACAATTCAAACACTGCCTCAATTACTCCTTGGGTAATGGGGCTTTATTCCAGAAAAAATCCGCAAATTTCATTAATTTTGTCCATTTCCCCTTTTTCAAGGATATTAACACACCAAGTGTTTGAGCATGTCTGGAGTGTAGCATCGGTCGAGCAGTCCGATTTGGCCAGCCCGTCTAAATTGTTTCTATTCTCCATTTCAATTCCTTGGTACTTATGTAATAAGGTACAAAATGGAGTAAAGGACTTCCTTGCAATTCGCCTGCCACAGAGAGATGGAGTTTGAAAATTATAGCCCATTTCTAATGCTCCCTCACATTAAAGTGCTCAAATCCTGTGTTTTGTCTGGATTCTACAAGTTTATTCCAGTGATTGTCATTTGCTTCTGTGACTCATGGAATGCCTGACATACACCTTGTAACTATATGTCTCCTGCCTCAAATGCTCTCTCCAAATACATGCAATCCTACAGTCCTCAGAGAATATTATTACAAAATAATTCTAACTTAGAACACCAAATTTCGTATTGGAAGTCGAAACTAAAGTGCTATCATGCACTTCAGTTCTGTGAAGATTACAAGTAAAATTTCAGGCGCTTTAAAACTTGCTCTCTTCCAATACCTTTGAACGATGCCTTGAAACCAATGTCGAAGCGCTCTCTTTGATTACGTGAATTTTGCTTGCTAACAATTTAAAGTGCACTCCAGCAGGCTGTCGGTGCAGTGCCGCGCGCCTGACTAGACAGGCTGATGGTGGCTCTGTCATTCACCCCTTACATGCTTTGTCAATGAACATTTAACAATTGTTTTCTCTCCCACCTAAACCAGCAGCGATAAATCTAAATCACTCACCAGTTTCGTCTTTTTTTCTCTCCTTCAATTTTTCAATGGAATAAAAAAAAAATTGAAAATTTGTTAGATTAAGTTTCTTACATGAACAGAATAGAGTAAATGGAATGTTAGAGTAGAGCCTTGAGGCGAGTGTCAGACCCACTTACAGAAGCTTGGTGACAAGCAGAGCTGCAGCACTATCATCCCGTATGGGACCAGGCAATAAAACTCAATAAATTCTCTTCCCTTAAAGTTTTAACTCTTTAGGAATTGACAGACAACCCGACACGAGCTATCAGCACAAGGTTCCTTCATTGGGTGCAGGGCTGCGGACGCTGGATTGCAGTACCAGTTGCATCAGGCTCACAATACTCTCATCTCAACTTTGGCAGCTACTGTCAAAATGGATTATGTTTAAAATTGAGTGAAGTGTGGGGAAATTGTGTATGAAATTTTATGCCAAACAAGGTTTTGTCTGCCATGTCTAATTGACACCTGGCACTTAAATTTGAAATTGATTTGACTTAGTTTCATGACAGCGAGAAAGACTACCATCATTTAAGCATTTCAAAACTGCTGATTTTTTGGTCCTGTGGGGTTTGAACATGACTTTTGACTCCTGCAAGCAGCATATCAGCTATGAAAGAGTGAGGACATGTGCTCTGGTTATGTAATGCACCAAAAGAGGAACAACGAGGAAAAATGACTTACAAGTCGGCACTTAAATCACGATTGTGTTTCTTGTAACAAGATTCGCTGTGAATCACGAAATATGACAGATTACACACACACAAATTCTTCATAGAGATTAGATTAATTCTTGTTGTAATTGCCATATTTCAAGACATCCTGAGTGCCAGCATTAGAATTTTGAGAGAATGCAAAACTTCAATTTAGATTCTAATTATGGCGAATTAGTGGTTTTATTTGAAATTTCATTTCCCTTTTTTGTAATTTTGATACGTGTGTCATAGCTGGAATGAGTCATTGTTTCTGTAAAGAATTTGACATCTTCACTTCCTTTGAATTGATTGTGAAATTTAAATAAAGCCATCGGTTTGATCTAATTTAAGTTGATGGTTTCGAGTCATCTTTGTTTCTCAGCGGCCGCCATTTATTTTGCCAGCTGTCGAGTTACAAGGCTTCCTAATCATCTAAACTTCTGGCCGGTTACAGCAATTTAATTTTTAAAATGCCTCCTGAGATAATTTGCAGCAAATGTAAAATGGTCTTTGTGTCCAGCGAGAGGACCCAACCACCACAAAAATCAATGCCCTTTTTTAATGCCAAACACAAAGACATCAATTTTTGATAATGGCAACTTGGGTTGAAATTGGTATGCATTATTGATGGCAATTTCAGGAATCAATTTTAGTTGCAAAAAAAATTGAAAGAATGGCTTTAAGATTTTAATGTGTCAATTACTTTTATGCTGTGGATGGGAGACCACCTGCAAGGTAGCCAACCTAGGCAATAAAACCAGTATTAAGTTTCAAACATTCAGCTTTTTAATAGAATTCTCAATTCGTTTTTAACGAGTGGGATTTATATTGATGATTAAAAAATTGAGGATAATTTTCTTCAAGCAAAGTAACAAGCTTCAATAGAAGGATATTTTTTCTACAAAAACAAATTCAATGAATTGTAGCAATGGACAAAGGTTTGTGAAATTGGACAGTATGAATTAGTGTTGCCCTGTAATTACTGCTGATGAAGATGTGATTGGTCTGGACTATGCTGCTGGCAGTAGACAGATGTTTTATAATATCTATTGCTGATAAATATTGCAAATATTTCAAATTACCTTACCTGCTCGACCAGGTAAGCAGTCGTTTTGTTTAATTAAAATTTTCAAATAGGCCTTCCCTGTGTGATAGGCTACAATTAGTAACCTGGTAACCTTACAAGTACCCTAATTACAGTCCTTTGTGGACTGCAGGGTGGAGAATACAATACGAGGAGTTGTCTCCAAGGCGATATATTCTATTACAGAAATCTGATTGGACAGATTGTTATATAACACACAGGAGGCCTTATAGCTGTACTACTGGTGATAACAATCTTAAACTTAATCATCTAGTTTATGTTACATCAGTCCATCTCTTATATATTACACTGTCATCTAGTTTCTATTAAAGTTTATGTTACATCAGTCCATCTCTTATATATTACACTGTCATCTAGTGTCTATTAAAGTTTATGTTACATCAGTCCATATCTTATATGTTACACTGTCATCTAGTGTCTGTTAAAGTTTGTGTTACATCAGTCCATCTCTTATATATTACACTGTCATCTAGTGTCTGTTAAAGTTTGTGTTACATCAGTCCATCTCTTATATATTACACTGTCATCTAGTGTCTATTAAAGTGATGCCCTAGTTTGTTTTACACTGTTATTCCATAACACTGATATCAAACTGATATTCTAGTCTGTATTACACTTATATTCTAGTGTGTATTACACTGATATAAAACTGATATTCTAGTGTGTATTACACTGATATTCTAGTGTGTATTACACTGATATTCTAGTGTGTATTACACTGATATTCTTGTATGTATTACACTGATATAAACTGATATTCTAGTGTGTATTACACTGATATCAAACTGATATTTTAGTGTGTATTACACTGATATTCTTGTATGTATTACACTGATATAAACTGATATTCTAGTGTGTATTACACTGATATTCTTGTGTGTATTACACCAATATAAAATGATATTCTAGTGTGTATTACACTGATATTCTAGTGTGTATTA